AGAAGCACTTTTAGATACGGGTGCAACTACGTCTATCGTGAGTATGGACCTCGCACATCAGTTAGGCTTAGAAGAGGCTGGCGCTGGTGCCATCAGAGGCTTGTTTACCAGGAAACAGGTGACGTTGTTCAAGGCGTCATTGGCTACAAAAGACCGTCGGATGGAGACTGTGCTGTATTCCAGCGAGGAGCTCAAGGACGATGAGCTGATATTGGGTGTACCGGACATGATTGCACTGGGTATCTTCGATGCATGTAAGTGCCAGTTCCATGTGGAGAGCTGTTACAAGGTCAATGCGGTGTCACTGGTGGAGGAGGAGAAGTCAGACCAAGATTTGTTGGCGGTTGCGAAGCAACTGATAACAGATATGACGTCTCATCTGGAAGGTGTTGTCAGAGGGAGGCTTTGGGGTTTGTTACAAAAACATTCGAAGTGTTGGTTGCGGCCAAGGACAGGCAGAACACGGCATAGCGTGGAGCTCGAAGTCGACGGGAAGCCGGTGAAGCATACGTTGAAGCCGTTAAGACCAGAGTTACGAGAGGAACTAGATAAGCAGATAGACGACATGTTGAGCATGGGTGTGATACAACCTAGTAATTCCTCGTGGGGAGCAAGACCGGTGTTTGTACGTAAGAAAACTGGTGAATGGAGAATGTGTATCGACTACCGAGCACTGAACAAGGGGATGGCGTTGAAGGCCTACCCGATACCATTGCTCTGGGAGGGTGATGTATTGCGTCTTTGAAGGTCCTATAGGAAACAATGTCGACGCGTACATTGACGATATTGTCGTGTAGCTGATGATTTGGATACGTTGTTTGAGCGTCTGACGAGGTACTCGGGAGGTGCTGCGAGAAAGGTTTGTTTCTTAAGCTGAAGAAGGGTGAATACGTGAAGCAGGAAGCAGAGCTGCTAGGGTTTATTGTAAGCGAGGAAGGCATCAAGCCGGACCCGAAGAAGGTGGCGGACCATATTCCACCTTCTTCGGGTCCGGCTTGATGCCTTCCTCGCTTACAATAAACCCTAGCAGCTCTGCTTCCTGCTTCACGTATTCAACCTTCTCGTGGAAGCCATTAAGGCGGCTGGACATGATGGTAAGGTGAAGATTGGTACTGATATTGCCGCTTCCGAGTTCTTCAAGGAGGGTGGTTTGTACGACTTGGACTTCAAGAACAAGGACTCCGACAAATCGAAGTGGCTGAAGGGCGAGGAGCTGGTTAAGGTGTACATGGAGTTCGTTGACAAGTACCCTATGGTGTCCATTGAAGATCCTTTCGATCAGGACGACATTGCAGCTTGGACGAACATGCAGAAGGAGCTTGGAAGCAAGATCCAGATTGTCGGTGATGATCTGCTCGTCACAAAT